CACTTAGAGCCTCAGAACTTAGAATGACTTTGAGAGTTTGTTAGAATCTTCTGTGCAAAAAAATACTTGCATAAATGTAGTGGGGAGAGATTTTAAATGCTCTTTTCTATATAGAGGAAATATGTTGTTCCTTAGTCTCTGGCCAATCCTTTTTTTGGGATTTTCTTGAGACATTGTAGTCTCTGATTTTCTGATTATGGAACAGAACATTTTCTTTTAATTATTTCTTCTATTCCAGAGGAGAGCATGTTCATTCTCTGTGCTTTTGCACATTTCCAATGCTGGTGAATATCTCATTATCTGAAAAGTTGTTCTTAAATGAGAAGCAGAAAAAATAAATTGTTGGTTTTGGGGTTGATGTCAGGATGGAGTCAGGCATAGCTCAAGTGCTGGAGGAAGAGGCCCTGGCTAATGCTGCGGGCTATATTAAGAGCTTCTCATTTGTGTAGGCCTTCCTATGTATTTTTGTCTGCCTTGTAAATTAGGAGTTCCTTGGGGGTAGGAAAACTGTGTCCATCCATCTGTTTGTACAAGCACTCTCATTAGTATTTGAACACTCATCCACTGAAATGCTGCCTGCTCCCTATCTCTCCCCTTTGGAGTGGAGTGAGGGGGCTTGGCTGGCAGCATGTGCAGTTCTCAAGGTGGTGCAGCAGCTGCTCTTTGTACGCTGCCTCCCAGAGCTCCTGCTGAGTAGTATTTACTGTGAGCCCAGTGCAGACGGGATTTTTAGGGCACAGCTGTCACTGTGGTGCTATATATTCACCCACTGTACCCATCTCCTCACAACAGAGCGTAGTAAGAATTCTCTCTCGTGTGCTGGAAGGAACATGTGATACTTCCAGCCTGCCAACTTGCTTTAAGCTGGGGATGTTGGAAGTCAGATGTCTGTCTTGTAGGAAACTTCTGAGGGCTGAAAATTCACGTCTCTGAAGCAGCACATACTCCTCTGCTTTTCTGAGCAGTGAGATGTTTGGTTTTTCGAGATAAAATCTGTGCTTGTGCTTGAGGCACTAAAGAACTACTAACATTAGATCTGTTGGTGTTACCCTGGATTGGATTTTGTAAATCAATTGACAGAAATAGCTGTACCCTGAAACTCTGATGAATGTTTTGCTGTAGCATTAAATAAAAGCATTTGCAGCACCTAGCAACTGAGAGCTATACTGTAATCCTGAGCAAGTGAGTTAAGACTATTACAAAGGTTTTCTGAAATCATTCTGTCTAGAACTTGCCCAGAGATTTGTTTTAGGAAAAAAAGATTGGTAGTCAAGTTGAAAAATGCATATTTGTCCTTGAAAGTAGTATATTTCTCTAAATTTGTTACTTCTGTTAATAGAAGAGAGACTGAGATAAGAGCAAAGTAAAATTTGCTATGGAGACAGATCTGGGTTTCTAGTCTAATTCTAAGGTTTAATTAGCACTGGTCCTGCAAAAAATATTTTCTAAAATATTTTTAAATAGAAAATATTTACTCAAGATTTTAGAAAGCTCACACAGTGAGCTCTTCTCTGTTTGTGATTTATGGTAGTAAATGTTTTAGTAGATCAGAGATGAATTTTCAAAGGAAAATACCAACAGATAAAAGATAAACTCTTTGCATTCCATTCCTTTCAGCTGGATCTTTAGAAATGGGAACAAGATAGTCTTGAATGTGCCTTGACACTTCAGATCTGTGTGCCCTGTATCTCCATCTGCACACTGGTATTTGTTCACAACAATTACTGGCTGCTCTTGATGTCTGCTGGAAATGCATGCTGTGCCTTCACTTGGAGCACTCACAGAGATGTCTCTCAGGTTCTAACTAAAATACATGTAATTTTGTGCTTTGGTTTTCATGTTTCATTCAGACTATGCATCCAGTCTTTAATAATGCCTTCTATTTAAAAGTTTACAGCACCAAATAATCTAGTGTTCTTTTAACCGGTGGGAAGACCATGAGAAGAAGTAATTCTTTCCTGATACCTACTTCTTGTGTGAATTGCAGATACAATAAATTAGATCTATTTTTTGTGAGTCTTGCTGTCTGTGAAGGAAGGATAAGCTGATTTTTAGAGGTAAAGTGACATCAATAGAGTGCTGTCTCCTGAAATGGGAATTGAAAAAAATAGAATTGTATGAAAGAATTCCACACAGAATTTGCTACCCTTATACTTAGTTGAAGAAGTTGAAACCCTGTAATTTCCTTTTTAAGTAGGAACTGATGGAGCTGTGATTGAGACTTTCCTTCTCTTTCCCAGTATGATGCTCCTGGAGCTCCTTGCCTCAGAAACAAGTGTTGCTAAGTTAGAAAGTTATGTAAATCACAAATTCAGAGTTACTGAGGATTTTTATGTTTGAGATAGTCTTGTGATTAATGTTTTTTCATTTAGGGTGTATTTTCTAAAATATTAGTGAGAAAATATCCCATTAGAAGAAGTGAAATTCAGTCTTTCATTACAGCCATCACCTCCCTCTGAATTGACTCTAATTCTAGGAGGGTTGTAGTTGCTGTGTCGTTATTTTAAGGTATAACATTTACCTGTGAGGCAACTAAAAGCAAAAGTCAAAGCAAGTGAGAGGGAAACTACAGTGTTAGAGCTGTGTTTAAACTAGCCCCAGATGCAGAGTGTTATCCTGTCTCTGGAAGCTCTGCTTCCCTGGGTTTATTTTGTTTGAGGCATCACTGAGGAGTGGAAGGAGAGGTAGATGTGTTGAGTAAGAATACCCAAATTAGGGCAGACCTTTGACTTTCAGGAATTGGGGTGATATTAAAAAAACAGTCTTTGTTGTTAACGAGAAAAACATGTTGGGGGGAGAGTGTCCCAGAATTTAGAACCAGCATCGCACAGTTAATATTCTGTGGCAAGAACTTGTATGTTTCATGAGGAGGTTAAAAGTGATGTCTTAGAAACGTAATGTGGGAAGATCATTTATTTTAAAAAGGATAATTTGAAAAAGACCGAAGTGTCCTGCTTGATGAATTCAACTCTTTCTGACTCATTTGTCTGAGTTTGGCTTTAGTTTGCTTTCTGCCCTTTCTTTACCTTTTATTCTATTGCAGAGTCTATTTCTCAACATATTTGTGGGACTGAGCAGGGAAGGATCTTTGAGTAACTGCACAAGTACATGTGGGTGTACAAATAATCCATATTCTTTATGGGCTTCTGGGTTCTGTGTACTTGGCACAATCCAAGTCAATAAAATGCATAGAAACTAATGTTTGTATAACAGGTTAGAAAAGCTATGCTTGTAACACAAATCTTTTGGTTTTGGTTTGTTGTATTGGGTTTTTTTTGTTGTTTTGTTTTGCTTTGTTTTGTTTTGTTTTTTCTTGTGAGGGTGCATTAGACTGCAGAATAGAGCCCTATCTTTGAAACTACCACAAAATATTTTCCCCATCCCTCAATTCCTTAACACCAGGAAAATACTTTGGGAAATAATACTGCTATTATCAGTCAACTCTGCCTGCATAAGAGCATTTTATCTGTTTCCTTCCCTCAGAAAACACAGAACTCTTTGCTTCTATCTCAAATGAAAAGGTATTAAAACTTGTCTCTTTCAGTCAAATAATTTCTGGGAATTACTTAGAGTGCCTCATTCCAAAGTAATCTTTACTTTTGCATAGTCTGAGTATGCAGGGTGCTGTGTGTTCGAGCACTCTGACAGTAGAGCTAGTGTTCTGGTAAACTGACACCTCCCATGGTCAGACTACACTGTCAGTTGGACTTCTGGCCTCAATAGCACCTTTAACAGCATGTTAAGAAAGGGCTTTTTCCTTTTTTTGCTTATTCATCTTTGCCAGTAAAGCACATGAGCTAACAGTCTAGGGAATTGTTTTGGAAGGAGGCTTTTTTTTTGCTATGTATATATTTATAAGTGACTAGGAATTTGACTTTATGGTTTCAGACTTGCAGAATTCACAGGGGACTTTTGGCTCATAATCAAACACATCTTTATTTTATGTTCGCTGTACTGAAGGAACAGAATTTTTGAATGCAGCATTTGTGGTAGTACTTTAGATTATCCTTGGGATTTTTAGTGAGGAATGTAAGGAAGTGAGTTTCTAAGAAAAAAGACCTATAGCTTATATCCATGCTCTTTCTGTACTGAGTGCTGAAAGCAGAGGACACCTCTGGTGTGTTCATTAAAATTTGTCTGGCTGATGGTATGTGAAGGCTTTCCTGGTTTAGTGCTGTACTGGTTTTATCCATAAAGAAGCTGAGAGGGCTGTGTAAAATTGAGGTCAGGGTGCTGTCCATTCAGAGAAGATGCAGTTCACAAGCTGAGTGGAGCCAACAAAATGTATTGCCACAGTGAACAAACAGAACTTCTGGACTGTTGTGTCAGTTGTTGGGTTTGTGGTTGCAGCACTGTGGTTTCTTATTTCTGACAATGCTGGTCTTTGGAGTGTCAGGTCCAACAGGTTGGTGAGACAGGCACATAGCAATTTGTGTTGGTAATGGAGCTGCAGTTGTATATGGGTAAGGTTAAGTAGAATAATTTCCTCTAAAGCCTGCTATTAAAGAAACAAAGTGTGCCCAAGGCCACTCACACGCATTCATTTTCCATCTCCTCAATAAAATAAATTAATTTGGGGAAAATGGCTTTTAGGAGGAAAAATACAATAAAATCATGCAGTGGATAGTGGTTCATACATTTTCTGCTTCTCAGTAATGTTTCTATATACTGCTGCTGTATAGAGATAATTATCCCCTTGAGATAGTGATAATAGGTGGTAAGGGAACCACTACGTTGGGCTTAACCTCTCAAAATGGAAGTAACAACAAGTAGATGGTCTCCTGAACCTTTGCAGAAGTGTGAGTTAACTGTGATTTGTTTAATTCCCATAAGTTTTGATTTTTCACCCATACAATAATGGATACAAATATTGTTCTATCTATTAATGTATCTTTTTCTGTATCTATTCTGTACTATAATTCTGGGCAAGTTCTTCAGCTGTTCTGTATACAGAATGATTTACCAGACTAAGACTTTTTCTTTTGTCTTTTTCCACGCAGATCACCCCTGGCAGCAAGGCAGCACAGTCACAGATGAACCCAGGGGACCTTGTCGTGGCCATTGATGGAGTCAACACTGACAGCATGACCCACCTGGAGGCCCAGAACAAGATCAAATCAGCCAGCCACAACCTGAGCCTCACTCTGCAGAAGTATGTTGGAATAATTTAAACTTGTTGTGTTCCTAAGGACAACCTATGAAGCTTATGACTGAAGGTTGCAAGTGTTTCATCCCTGCCTATTAGATTTAATTGAAGTGCTCATGGCACAGATATGAGATGAAAAGGCAAAATCTGCTCTGACTCTTGTAGAAGTCAGCATGGATTCATGCAGAAATCGAATGGTTGGGTTGAGTGTATCTGTGTGGATTTAGCCTATTGAATACAGGTGTAATCCCATATCCATTCAGACTTTGTTAAATGAATCCAACAGTGATGTTTCTGTTGATTATTCTCATGTGAGCAACATAGTTTAGTTTGGCTAATTTATGAACAACTGCTCTAATGACAACAAACAGAACAAGTGTTACAAGTGCATGGGAGGGACCTCATGAGAATTTGTGCTAATGGTCCGGCACCTGTGAGTTTATAAGTCTGCTCCGCATGTGACCCGATAAGAAAGGTGTAGCCCAAGTGCAGGGAAGGGAGGCAGTAGAATGTGGAGAGGGCAGGTTTTACCACAGAGATGTGATAAAAGTTGTCTTGCCATTAAGAAAGCAGTTAATAGGTTTTTAAACTTCTGCTGGTTAATGTTACTTTCAAGGAAATTTGTTCTCAAGTTAGATAACCTTGCACAGAGGATTTCTGTAATAAATGCATTAATATTTAAAGCTCCATAATTATAGAAAGCAAGTAGCTGCTAATTTTATTGCATTGTGAAGAAGATAATTTTTGTACAGGGCAGGCAAAGACAAGTACAGAAAGCAGACTGTAATGTGGAAGTACAATTTCTGAGAAAAGAATCTCATATATGAATGTGCAGTAGAGATAATCAATATCAGGAACATACTAATAGCTAAAGAATAAGAAGTTTAGATGAAGTTTCCAAGACAGGACAGGGTACTGTAAAGCAAAATATGTGGCTGATTTTCCCCCATGGCTTTAAGTTTGTCTTTAAGCGTTCCAGATAGACTAGAAAATCACTATCTTGATGCATGTGGTTGAATTCTCATCCTCTCACCCACTCCAACTTCTTTTTTATCCCTTGGAGTTATAGTGTTATTACAAATATGTTTATGATTATTTTGCAAAGATTTAGATTGTTCTGAATATTTTTTTTATTTAAAAGTTAGTAAAAATCCTTTCTGATTGTTAGAATGTCTGTCTAATTTTCTGTTGAACCTTTGCGTTTTTACATTGAGATAAAACATTTCTTATTTTGCTTTGGGTCGTTCCACATTTGGTGTTAATTTTCCTGAATATTGAACCCAAAAAGTTGTGCGGTGTCTGCCTCTATGGCCTGGCCATAGAGGTTTAAATGGTTTAAAACTACAAACCAACAGCTCTTCTTATTCACAGAAGGATTCCCAAATTCATGACTAAGAAATCCAGATTATGCTAATACATATCACAGAGACAAGTTACTTAAAACAGTAATTTTGATCAAGTGTTGCTAGGGATATTTCATTTGAGTAATCATTGTTCTTTTTTTATTTGCTGACCTCTAAATTACAACACCAGCAATTCTAGTGTCCACATCATTAAAAAAAAAAGGAAACTAGTGCAAGTACCTTTATTAATTGCTTTCATCCCTATTTATTGTTTCTTCTGGTTTTTTTAAGGCTGTTCCTGTCTCTTGGTTCCAAAACAATAATATATAATTCAAATACTCAAGTTACATGGATAAAGAACAACCAAAGAAAGCAGTAATGGAGTGTTCCAGAGACTGAGATATGTTTGCATAGATAATAGATGTAGATATTTTGAAAAGAAGGAAAATGCAGTAAAGTAAAATGAAATACTAGTAAAAATAAGTAGGTGATAAAACAGCTTTTTTATCAAATGAATTTTTTTTCAGATGATGTTTTTGCTCTGAAATTATACAATTAATGGACTCTTCTTTTCAGCTACTTTATGATATGAGCTATTAATTTGCCTTTGTGACCCGTTCAGCCTCATTAGGAAAACCCAATGAAAAAAACTGAAAAGTATTTTTTTATTCTTTTTTCTTTCTTAAATGACATGAGGATGTTCAAAAAAGTTGTGCTCAGAGGTATTAAGCTTACTTTACTTTGCACAGTTCAGAATTTATAGAAGCTAAATCCTAGCAGCAAGTGATACTGACCAACTGAGTTACACATAGAACCCTATTAAGGATCCAATGTCTTGAACAAAAGGCATCTCCACTATATTCAGGAAGTTATATTAATCTTGCCTTAAAAAATAATCTTTTCCCTGGACACAAATGGGTTCATTTACCCAAGGACAAAAAGATTGTCAGTTTAGTCACCTGCCCAAAATGTACAATGCAATATCCTTTTTTCAGCAAAGCATTTTACCAATATTGGGTTGGTGAAAAGAATAGCATGAAAAGAAGGTAGCAATGACAAGGGATAGTAACTTTCAACCAAATAAGAACAAGACAGAAGAGAGGCAAAATCTCCTGGGACGTGGTTACCAGGAAAGTGACTGAGCTAAGAGATCACTTTGACTTTTTTTAGACATGGCTTGCAGCAATGAAACTGGAGCAGTGTTCTACTACTATGGAAAAACAGCCCTAGTTGCCATAAAGAGCACAGAGCTGGAAGTGCTCACTTATCCTGTTTGTATAAAAGTTTGGAAATGCTGGAAATCCTTTCCAATGGAAAAGGCACATATATGCATTACGAGATTGACTGTTGTGATAGGAAAACTTAAGCTCTGAAGTGGGGTGATACTGGACATGTATGTGAAGTAGTCACAGGGCTCTACAGCATATTTCAAGGTCATGGAATGCCTTAGCAGGCAATGTGTGGCTTGGTTTCACTGTAGCAGCACTGGAAGTAGAGCTGATCTCACTTATTTTATCTGCAAGGCTGTGGAAGAAGCAGTGGAATGTGAAATCTTGATGAAAATGCTCCAAGATAGAAAGCTTTTTTTTTTTCCTAATGGTTCTTGGCTCTCTAGAGCAATGGCCTTTTCCTTTATCAGTCGTGGCCATGAAGGTTTCATGAGCATTGTTTATAACCTGACAGTTAAGACAGTGTTTGCTGCTTCTCACTTTTATTGCAACACTTGGTTCTCTGCAGGCTTTTTTCAGGGTGGGGAACTGCTTCTTGTTTTAATTTGGCTGTCAAAAAAAGCTGCACATGGTGTCAGCGCTGGTGCAGGACATCCAACTGCAAGGCATCAATCATAGGAAAAAAGGAAGTGTTAAGAGCCCCCATTCATACTTGCCTGCCTAAACAATGGGATTCTGTGGTTTCCTTTATGAACTTAATTTTAATTCAAGTAACACCTGCACTGTTCAAGGCACACTAACATGAATGTTCAGTGCTGGCCTGAGTGGAGTTCTCCATGATTCAGCCATGGCTTCAGGAATTTGTGCATGTCAAGTGTTTTCTGACAACTCCCTTCCCTAAACTCCCTCTTTAATTTGTTCTTATCACCTCAATCATGCTATGTTTTCACATAAACCCACAAAATTACACTGGAAGTCTCACCATTTATGCCAGAGGTTTGATCAGACAGCCAGAACTTGTTAGTGGCTTGAGCTGCATTGTCTGGCTGCCGATTTCTCTGGATCCTGCAGTGTGCCTCCCTTTGCTGCTTCTGGGAATCAAAAAGATGCAGACAGGCAAGTGCTGGGAAGTTGAAGTATTTGGACCATGCCTGGAGAAAGGAACCTGTGATCCAGTGCTGTGGCAAGGTCTGGGGCCCTCCAAACTAGCACTGCTTCATTAAGTTTAGAAGAAAAAAAGTACATCTAGGAAGTGAATTCTTTTTTTGCTGAAGAAAAGAGCAGGAGTGAGAGGAGAAGAAAAGAAGTGTCTCTGGCACTGTGTGTTATTACTCAGCAGAACTCCCATGAGGCACTCAGGGAAACCAGGCTGATATTCTAAAGTGTTACATACCTCTATAGATACAGCTTATTCCTTATAAACCTGCATTGCTCCAGGTGTACTGGGGGGATTGGTGCTGGTTTTGCTGGACTATGCTGTGGAAAGCTATGATCATACTCTATAATGGCCTGGGTTGGGGTGGAAAAAAGACATTGCTTTGCTTTTAGTCTGTTTGTGACCTCCTGGAGTTCAGTTCTCAGTCATTTTTCAGTATCAGTTTCTAATCAGTTACTTGAGCTACACAGCTGCCCTCAGGCATTTTAATTCTAGGCCAGTCAAAGTTCATCTTTAATTGTCTGTCTGTCCCACAGATATTAGGCCATAAACATTGGATTGTGCAGTATTCAGTTCACAGTGAAAAACAAAATGCATGCAAAGTCTATTTTTTTAATACAAATGGGTTTCTTTCTTAAATGCACAGTAAATACAAGAGAGCAGCTTTATTTGTCAACATGTTTCACTGGAGCATCCACAACATAACTCAAGTAATCTGATCAGCCTCCTTGGAAAGGATTCACCAAATGTACTGGCTTAGTTTTGGAAAGTGCTGTAACATGAGTGAGCCTCATTCTGCTGGCACAAACATTCCTGTGTCACTCTAAGGCTCCGCTTTGGCGTCACTCTGTGCTGCTGGAGAGGAGCAGAGGAGGTGGAGACTTCTGTGCAGGGTGCACATTGACAAAACTTCCCCCTCCCGGGGCATGCCAGTGATGCTACCCTTTGCTTTCAGACAGTCACAATTGGCTCTCTTTTGCTGGAAAATCGTGAGCTAAATAATTCTTTTCTCTACTAAAAGGGAAAGTGTCAGAGGCGAGGCTATGAGAGACTTATGGTAAATATTTAATAGCTTTCCTTTTTTGTGCAGCACCAAAAGATGGCTGATCCTGCAGTATTTATTTCAGGCCTACTATAAATAAAGCATGTGGTGACAGCAAACTGCAAGCAAGGGGAGCTCAGTGGTTATTGTAAACTGCTTTCTTTTGTCTGATGCTGGGTGTAGTAACCAATTCTGTGCATGTTTTAGGTCTGCTGATGGGCACATTTAAATCAGAACCAGAATAGGGCTGTATTTATGCTCAGAAGAATTAAAAGATGGTATTTGTTCCAGCTCAG